CTAATTTAGCCGAAGTCATTCTAAAGAAACCTTATGTATGTGATGCTTTAACAAAACCAAATGTATCCACCAGTGGTACTCAGCCATCGACTTCATCGGCCAGGAAGGGTACGGCTGATACTGGTAAGGTTTATACGTTTGATCTGGCCAAAACAGAACAAATTTTTGATCATTTGTTGGCCGACAAACAAATCGTTTTGCCAAAAGGACACAATATACCATCGACCAATGATTTAAAAGGAAGAGAGTTCTGCAAATTTCATAATTCATGGAATCATACTACTAACAATTGTTATGTATTTAGAAATGTATTGCAGAAATCTATCGATGAAGGTGTATTGAAATTCCCTGAAAAGAAGCCAGATGTAATGGGGGTCGATGGCGATCCATTTCCTAATATTGTCAGTACCAATGTAATCAGCCTGGCAACTGAAAAAGCCGCTGATAATGGTAGACAGGAAAGATTACCAAAAGTTCTTGGTAGTTCATCGGCCAGTAATGATGAGCAGAAAGTTAAGGACTTGGAAATTCAGTTAAGAGAAGCTCAAATTGCCCTCATCAACCATGGTTGTTGTCCAAATTGCAAAGGCCGAAGGAATGACTCAGATAAGAGGGGCTATTTCCAATCAACCAGAAAGCACAGTGTCCATGAAAGGTTAGGCCATCAGCCTAGACAGAATCACGAAGAAATCAATCGATCAATATTTAGAGAAAATGGGCCGAGGGCAGTGAGAATCATTCGGTCATCGGTGGCGATAAAGTCCTGCCAGAACAATATTTTATCCTAGTTTCAAAAGGAAACCAACAATTCAGTCAGAAATAAGGGTTCAAAAAGGAGAAGAATCTAGCCGTGTAAGAACAGTTAGACCTCCTTTGGTTGACCATGGCAGATGGACTCGAGTAAGTCACCCAAAGTTTCCTAAGCAACCTCCTCACGTACCCAAAAAAGGAGGATGCAAAGGAAAAATGCAGAACTCAAAAGGAAAAAAGACAAGATCGACCCTGATCAACTAGAAAGAAAAAATGAACCAGTGGTGGCTGAAGACATGGAGGTCGCTACATCCTTTGAGAATAGGGCATGCTTTTATGAAGAAAAAGATTATCAGCCCGACCAGGATCCAAAGCATGCGGCCAAGTACAGAATTCGTTTTGGTTCTCTCCCGGATAAGGTAAATTGTAACATGGTATTTGTTTTGCCTTTTGTGTTTGAAGCAAGGATAGAACCAACGATAAACAAGGATGTTGAGTCAGCAAAGCAGGAGGAAAAGGCTGAATCTTCAGAAATTAAGAACGATTCGACAAGTTCATCGGCCGGGATAGGATTGATCTTTCAGGATCAGCCATCTAAGGCTGATAAAATCATTTTCGAAAAACCACCTTTGTCCATGACACAGCAGTTGAGGCCGTTGTATGTTAAAGTATGGGTTGAGGGTCAGCCAATCAATAGGGTTTTGGTTGACAATGGTTCGGTGGTGAATGTCATTCCAGCAACTACTTTGAAGAAATTGGGTAAAACCATAGACGATGTAGTTCCAACCGATGTGACCATCAGTGGTTTTAATGGAGGATCTAGTAACACCAAAGGTATTCTACCTTTGGAAATTACTATTGGCGATAAGACATCCTTTACGGATTTCTTTATCATTGATTCAACCGCGGCCTATAATCTCCTTTTAGGCCGAGATTGGATTCATCCTAACATGTGCATCCCATCAACCTTGCATCAAATGTTGATTTTTTGGGATGGAAATGAGGTAAAAATTGTTGAGGCCGATAACAAACCCTTTATAGCTAGGGTGTATTTGGCTGAGGCTACACTTTATGATGAAACTGTTGTACCTATCAAATTTATTGGCATTAACAGGATGGGACGACCAGCAGCGGCAACAATGAAGAATAATTTAATTAATGCTGATATTAAAGAATTATTGTCAGAAGCAGCTCGGCCGAAAATTGATATTTTCAGGTCGACCATCAAGGACATTGAAGATGTTACTGATGGATCACAAAACCAATGAAGAAAAGAAGTGGCAAGCTTTCAGGGCCGCTTGCATAAGACTGAAAGCATATCTGGCTGAGAAGAGATTGGCCAAAGAAGAACAGCTATATGAAGAGGTATCGGCCAGCACGGCCGATATAATTGAAGAAGGTTTCGGAAAGCTGGATGCAATCCAACTTGAAGATTTGGAGTCAGCCCCTTCGAGGATGGAAGATAATAAAGCAGAGTTGCAAGATCCTTTATTGGAAATAAATGTTGGTACTAAAAAAGATAATCGGCCATTATTTGTTAATGCTTTGCTTGAGCCTAAATTCCAGGCCGATTTGATTAAATTATTAAATGAATATAAGGATTGTTTTGCTTGGAGTTATGAAGAGATGCCTGGCCTGTCTAGAAAATTGGTAGAACATAGATTACCGATCAAGAAAGATTTTCAGCCATATAAACAACCACCAAGAAGGATGTCTTCGGAAGTAATGCTCAAAATTAAAGAAGAAATTGAGAGACTTCTTAAGGTAGGATTTATTCGAACAGTTAGGTATGTTGAATGGCTGTCTAATGTTGTTCCGGTAATGAAGAAGAATGGCAAACTTAGAGTTTGTGTGGATTTTCGCAATTTAAATAATGCCACTCCAAAAGATGAATATCCAATGCCTGTGGCCGATCAACTTATTGATTAGGCCGCTAAGCATGAAATATTGTCTTTTATGGACGGCCATTCAGGTTATAATCAAATCTATTTAGCCGAGGAAGATGTTCATAAAACGGCTTTTAGATGTCCTGGGTCAATTGGTACTTTTGAGTGGATTGTGATGCCATTTGGCTTAAAAAATGCTGGGGCTACTTATCAAAGGGCAATGAATTCTATCTTTCATGATATGATTGGCCGATTCATGGAAATTTATATAGATGATGTAGTTGTGAAATCATCGGCCAAGAGACAGCATTTGGAACACTTGAAAAAGGCCTTTGAAAGGATGAGGATTCACAAATTGAAAATGAACCCATTGAAGTGTGCATTTGGAGTTTCAGCCGGGAATTTCTTGGGGTTCTTGGTACATAAACGAGGTATTGAAGTTGATCAGAACAAGGTCAAAGCTATTATAAATGCTAGGGCCCCAGCCAACAAAAAACAAGTGCAAAGGTTCCTCGGCCAGGTAGGTTTTCTTAGAAGATTTATTTCTAACCATGCTGGCCGAGTGCATGTCTTTTCGACTTTAGTGAAATTAAAGTCACATGAGAAATTTCATTGGGATGAATCCCATCAGAAGGCCTTTGACAAAATAAAAGAGTATTTGGTAAACCCCCCGGTTATAATGCCTCCAAGAAAGAGTGGCCGTTAAAGCTTTATTTATCGGCCGCAGAAGAATTAATTGGTAGTATGCTCGCACAAGACAATGAACATGGATAGGAGCAGGCTGTCTACTACCTGAGTAGCGTACTAACTGATGTAGAATGTAGATATTCATCAATTGAGAAGCTTTGTTTATCTTTGTACTATTCGGCCATAAAGTTGAGAGTATACATGCGGCCTGTTGATGTTTACATTCTTTGTCAGACTAACGTGATCAAGTATATGCTATCAAGGCCATTGATCACTGGCCGAATAGGTAAGTGGGCTTTGGCTTTGATGGAATTCAATTTTATCTACGTCCCACAAAAATTAGTAAAAGGAAGGGTTCTGGCTGATTTTTTGGCCGATCATCCTTCAACTGATATTGATCCATGGGTTTATGATGAATTGGAGTCATCAGCTATATTCTTAACTCCTTAGATCTTGATATTTGATGGATCAAGCACGGCTGATGGAGCAGGAGCAGGTATTGTTATTATTTCGCCAGCTGGCAGAAAGGCTTCATTCTCTTTCTTTTTAAATTTTAAATGTTCAAATAATCAGGCCGAATATGAAGTGCTTATAATCGGCCTGGAGATTTTAATTGAAATGGCTGTTAGAGATGTAAAGATTTTGGTAGATTCAAACTTAGTCCTTAGCCAAATTTCTGAAGATTTTAAGTGCCTAAGTTGGCAATTAAGGCCGTTTCATTCTCTGGCCACTTCATTAATCAATCAATTTGATAATGTTCAACTTAAGTTCTGGCCGAGAGGGCAGAATAAGGAGGCCAACAGCATGGCCCAAGCAGCCTCTGGAATAAGAGTACCAGCCGGAATAGAAGATCAGTTGATAAAGATAACACGAAGATCTTTGCCATCAGCCGAATTGAGAAATACTATGTTGTTTGATAGTTGGACAATTGATGCAGAAGATTTGGCCGACGATGACTGGAGGATACCATTTATAATGTTTCTTCGAAATCCAAACATCAAGGCTGATAGAAGTATTAAAAGAAAAGCGATCAACTTTGTGCTTCTAGATGGGGATCTATACAGAAAAGGGTTAGAAGATGGGCTCTTACTACAATGTATAAGCAAGGAGGAATCACTTCAGGTTATGGCCGAGGTACATGAGGGCAGCTGTGGGGCTCACCAAGCTGGGATTAAAATGAGATGGCTGATTCGCAGGTATGGATATTATTGGCCGAGAATGAGAAAAGATTGCATAGATTACTCAAAAGGTTGTCAAGCTTGTCAAAGACACGGGCCGATTCAAAATGTACCAGCAAAAGAATTACAGCCAATAATCAAACTTTGGCCATTCAGAGGTTGGGGCCTTGACCTTATTGGTAAAATTAATCCACCATCAAGCGAAGGCCATCACTGGGTGATTGTTGCCACAGATTATTTTACTAAATGGGTTGAGGCCAAGGCTTGCAAAGCGGTTGATCAGCAAACAGTGATTAATTTCATGGAACAAAACATCATCCACAGATTTGGGATTCCAGAAACATTTGTTTCAGACAATGCAACAGTATTTAGGACAACTGATGTACTACAATTCGGCCACAACATGAATATTCATATGTCAGCCTCTACGCCATACTATGCTCAAGCAAATGGCTAGGCCGAATCTTCAAACAAAATTTTAATAGAGATCATTGAAAAAATGATCAAAGATAAGCCAAGAAGGTGGCATGAGACTTTGTCTGAAGCTTTATGGGCCTATAGGAACTCAAAAAGAACAGGCACAGGAGTTACACCATACATGTTAACTTATGGTCATGATGCTGTTCTGCCTATGGAAATGAAGGTTAAATCAGCCAGAGTTGCTTTTCAAAATAATCTAACTCCAGCTGATTATTCTCAAGCAATGTTGGTAGAATTGGAAGATTTAGATGAAGTTAGAAGGGATGCCTTGGATCATATCATAGCTCACAAGAAGAAGGTGATGAGGATCTACAACAAGAGGGTAAAACCTAAGTCTTTTGCTGAAGAAGATTTGGTTTGGAAAGTTGTTTTGCCAGTGGGTAAAGTCGATAGGAAATATGGGAAGTGGTCCCAAAAATGGGACGGGCCATACTTAGTCCATCAAGTCTTAAGTGGAGGAGCATATAGGCTGAAGTATTTCAGTGGCCGATTACATGACTATCCCATTAATGGCAAGTACCTCAAGAGGTACGTACCGGCAATCTTTGAAAGGGAAAATTAGTGTTAGCCAGTACTTATGGCTGACCATGTGTACCTTTATGTAATAAAATTCGGCCTATTTTTCTAGGCTGATTTGGCTATTTTAATAAATTTTTTCTTGCTAAAATGTTGATACTTGTTTGGAGTAACAAAAGAGGCCATTTATTCATTGAAGTGTAAAAGATTACATCATTTAAAGATTATACACTAAGATGGCCACAAAAGGAAGCTAATATAAAAAAAATTCATATGCTTGCAAATTTTTCCTTGAAATCGGCCCAAATAACTAAGGACCGATTGAAGGCCACCATGGCCTGCCTCTTTGACTCTTCCAATTGAGGTAATTCTCCACGAAGATTTGCATGCTCGTGAGCAAGGTCTTGAGCTTCAAACTGCAATGTGGCAGCTTCAGTAGACAAGATGGCCTTACGAGCATGGATCTGGTCGATCTATTTCTGAAGGACATGTTCTCTTTCCTCAAGGGCCATTGAACTCTGTATTCACTATTTCAAAGGAGGAAGCTTGAATTAACAATTGGTTAGCAAGGGTATCCTTCCTGTTTTTACTCTTGTTGAATTGGTTGATTGCTTCATTGGCCTGGAAAATATCATCGGTCAGAGTTGGCAGTTGGCCTTTAAAGGTAGCAATAGTGGCTTGAAGATCAACCGGAAAGTCTGAGTACTGGCTGAGTGTAGAAAGCACTACTGTGAGCTCACTTTCAAATTTAGGAAGATCAGCAGCATCTCTTTTCAAGATCTCAAGTAAAGATTTTTTGGTCTCTTCTAAGGATTGTATAGGGATATTGGCTGAAGTGACTGGAGTGGCTCCAGAAGATTCACTTTCTTTCTCTTCGGTCACTGAAGCCACCACATCCTTAAAGAAATTGCTCAAGGCCAATAGAGATGAAGCAGGAGCTTTTTGTGGAGGAAATAAAGGAACAATTTGAGTTTTCTCATACACAACCTGACAAAATGAGGAAAGATTAGATCTTAAATTTTTTTTTTTTTTTTTTTGGGATATGAGATAGTCAATACCTTGGATGATTCGGCCATGTCTGTCACTAAGAGTGGCTGATGACTACTTTCTGGAGGAGGAAATTCTGGCTGAACCGCTGTGCTATCTCCCTGGGATGAAGTTTTAGCAGGAGTGACTTGAACATTGAAGAGCACCTCAATGGGATCATGAAAATCCTTCAGAGGGCTGAAATTTCTAACTGGGCTATAGACCAAGTCAAGAAGAGGAGATTGCTGCAAAAGAGAAGAGATTAAGGACCATATTAATTGAAAAGTTTGGAAATTTCAAGTACAGTTATCTTTACCTCTTTTTCATCTGAGGAATGATCAGAAGGATTGTCAGCCACTTTAATTACGGGATCATCGGCCACGTCTTCTGTAGGATGAGGGCTTTCTAGATTTTCTTCTACTTCATGTTTCTTACGTTTGATCAATCTTGTCTTTTTTAAAGTGCCATGAGCAGTTGATTTCTTTCTTTTTCCCTGGAGATGGAAGCTTTATTAAAGTTTATCTCGGCCAATAATAGTTATGGCCGAGAATTAGAAATCAATATTGGCCAAGTATTTTAACAATTGGGCCGATATGATTATCTTCGTATGTTAATAGATAAAAACTTTTCCTTTGGAGGAACTGGAGGAACATCAAGGATGACGACTGATTCAGTTGTTGAAGGCTGAGGAGGTTGGCTTGAGGAAATTTCATCATCTTGGGGCTCAACGTTTTCTGGATTAGGCGAGGCTGATAAAGTTCCACTGTCTGAATCTGCTAAAAAAAAGGGGGGGGGGGGGGTAAGAGAAATTCAATTAAAAGTTTTTTTTAAAAATATATATATATGCAAGTAAAGGAAGATCGTACCTTTGAGAAGGCTGGCAGTGGCTTTGGCCTTAGCTTTTCTCTCTTTATTGGTCCTTGTTGGAGCATCTGCTGGCTGAGAGAAAGGGAGTTTCTTGACCGTTTGTTTTTTAACTTTGGGAGGATCTTTTTGAGGCATCTTCTTTGGGGTAACGGTCCGGGAAATTACAAATGCCCCTTCAAAGGCCACAGATATGAACTTGAAAGATTCCAATATTTTAACAACAAGTGACTGGCTATCAGCCGTCCTTGTAGAAGTAATGTAAGAAGACCACCATTGATCAAAACTAGAATCTGAGGCTGGGTTCTTGATGAAGGGTTGGAATTGGAATCCGGCTTGCAGATTTGAGAACCGGGTGGACACGTTCTTTACATAGGAGTCATCTGAAAATACCACACGCCTATGGAAGTTTTTGTTGAAAGAGAAATAAGGGGGCATGGGGATCATTTGAGTCAGACCAAATTGCCTAGCAAGTTGGTTTGGATTGTAGAACTCAATTCCAACTTTTGAGTTTACTGTGCCTAGAGGGCCAGTGTTGAAGTGAAGGTCTCTTGAAAGTAAGAAACTAGCCCACATGGTCGAATGTTTATCAGCTAATTTTTTAGTAGACACTCCTTGAGGAGGAGTCAGCCATCGAGGTGCTTGTGAGCAATGAGAAAATGGAAGGAATTGGCTGATAGTCCTCTGTTCACAACCGGAGTAAAAAAAAATTGAAGCAATCTCCAAACGAATGGGATTTAGGTACGGCCGATGCGTAACTTACAGAAAGTAATGGGTCATTGGCCGAAGGCCTCACCACAGGTCCGAGCTCAGGAAAGTACACTTGAAGCCAAATTTGAAATAACCAGAGGGGACCACCATAGCGTCCAAAGTTGGAGGTAAGCAAGTCATAAATCCCTCTATATAAATGAGAAAGCACCAAGGGAGCAAGAGCAAGGTGTTTACCTCTTGAAAGGGCAACGGCCACATGAATGAAATCCTTTGTGACTTGAAAGGCCGGTACATATAAAAGAAACTTGTTCAGCCAGGCCAACAAGAAGGCAATATGTTCAGCATCATTCACAGGGACGCGAGGATCCATGGTGGAAGTTAAATACTTGCCATAAGAGGATTCAGATGACTTGGTTCCAGTTTGCTTTGAAGGGAAGATGAAAGGAGAATCCTCTTCTACCAATAAGGTACTTACATCAATCCCAAAGGGTTTGAGGCCGGTTAGATAGCACACGTCTTGAATGGTTGGAGCCATCATGCCACACTTCAAGTGTAGGGAGTTGGTGGTGGTCGACCAATTAAACATGGCTGCTATCATCAAGGCTCTGTCTTGGGCGATGTTAGTTTTACTTAGCTGAATGGCATCATATATGCCACAATCCTTCCATACTTCTCCCTTCACAGCTCCAACCCAGTCGACCCAATTGATCCAAGCATCATTTGGAATATGCCATGTTCTAAAATGAAAGTGTGGCAAACTACCATTTTCATTAGGAGGGAAGGTTTGGAGGAATGGAAGAACGTCGGCCGAAGGATAGAAAGGTGAGATTGATGAAGGAGCTTCGTCAAGGAAAGTAGGACCTAAGCCTTTGAAGTCAGTACGAAGATCGATAAGGGTATTGGGACAGTATTTGTAAGGAGATAGAGTTTTTAGGGATTTTTCTATGATGTTGCCATGGGTTGAAGGATCGGAAGGTTGAGGGATAGAGGTGGAATCAGTTGATTTAGTTTTCTTAGGAGCCATAGAAGACGTTAGGAACGATTTTGCCGAGAAAGAATTTCAGAGATAGAAAGTTTAAGGGAAGAAGAATGATTTTAGGGATTAGAGAGCATCAAGCTAAATACTTGCTGGATGTAATAGCGGATTAGTGTAGTCACCGCTTTAATTGGGAAAGATAACCATTAAAGCAGGTGGTTGGAAAAAGAATTTATTACCAAAATTTGAATTACAATTTTAGGCCGATTCAAATTCCAAACGCTTCGCATCATAAGTGATAAAAGCATTTGAAATTCAGGGGGCATTTGTTGGCACCAAAACTTGGCAGCCACCTCAGTGGTGACATGGACCAGCGATGGGCCGACACTTGTTTAGTATGGTTTCAAGAAAAGTCGGCCAATTGAGAAACAAGAAGAGAATCTAGGAATTTAGCCACCTTATCCAATAAGGTTGTTGCTGAAATTTGGTAATTAATATTTGAGTTAATTCAAATATATTATTTCAGTTTGGATAGAAGAGATTTAGTTGGAATGAGATTCCTATGAAATAGGAATTTTGTTGCAAAGGAATAAGGAATTCAAAGGAGAGGTCGTCACGTGAGGGATAATTTGGGCAAAAGTTATAAATGGTCTTCCAGCCATTTAAGGGAAGTTTTCAGCCTAACTTAAGGAAAGGAGTTGCTAAAAGTTAGCAACTTTCCAGCAACTTTTCAGCATATTTCTCGACAACTTGCATTTGACAGGATTAAGGAGAGATTTCAGCAAGGACTTTCCTATTGAAGCAAGCAGAGAAGAGACGCAAAAGACTACTGGAACGTGATTTAGTTTGAGTAATAAAGGGAAGAAAATCAAGGAGCAAAGAGATTTTCTAGCAATTAATTAGGAAAATAAGTTGAGATAGAACTTCTATAAATAGAAGTATTGTATTCCATTTCCAATTCGTCCAGCACCACCACAAAACATGCATTTCAACTAAAAATGTTTTCAATTGACTCTACGTCATTTTCCTATCAATTTCTTTATTTCAATTTAATGGCAATTGATTAGATCCTCATCAACTATTTCGATTCGGCCATTTACTTTCTTTCAATTTCAATTATGCCAATTTTAATTACGCAATTTTAGTTAGGCTTTCAATTCAATGGCAATTGATTAAATTCTTGCCATTGAATCGTAGTGACAATTGATTAAATTCTTGTCATTACTTGGCTGATGGCAATTGATTAAATTCTTGCTATCACGTTTCAGTGGCGATTGATTAAATTCTTGCCATTGTGTTTGGCTGGTGGCGATCGATTAAATTCTTGCCATTGTGTTTGGCTGATAGCGATTGATTAAGTTCTCGCCTTCACGTTCGGCCGGCGATCGATTAAGTTCTTGCCGCCTGTCTTCACTCGGCCATTCCATCCATTCAAACATTCATCAACCGTTGCATTTCTTTAGACACTC